AGCTGCTCCTCAGAAACCCTATACAGAGTCACTATGAGTTAGAACCAACTTGACAGCACTTAACAACAGCAGTGCCTTACTGATACTTTAGGGTAGTACAGTACAAAGAACAGATTCCTGGACTGGGTAGACTGGATGCTAAATAAAAACATGGGGATAAGCATGACAAGTCTTTGGAATTTTTCCTTTTTATCACTAATTATTATTACATTTGGAATAAACCAAAAAATAAATAGACATGATTATTTTAAAGGGCTTTCAATTCTAATAGTGTTTGAATTTTAATTTATAAATAGTATGTTTTGGGAATCTGTAGGTAATACAAACAATGAATGCACTCAGCTACTAATTATAAGGGTTGAGGTTCAAGTCTACCCAGAGGTACCGCAGAATAAAGGCCTGGCAATCTACTTCCCCAAACTCAGCCTTTGAAAACATTATGGAATACAGTTCTACTCTGACACACATAGAGTCACCAAGAGTCAGAATTGACTCAATGGAAACTGGAACTGATAGTCAATTTTTAAGAGTAACTTTTAAAAGATAACATCACAAATTCTTTTAGCATTTCATTACAGTAGTATTTTTAAACTGTGTTATAATTTATGCACAATTTCCAGAAATAAATCCTAAATCTCTTAACATACATGAACTATATCTGCCAAGAATCCATTCAGCTTTGGGTATTTTTTTCTTGCATTTTTGGGGTGTTGAACTTGAGGGAGGACCACCCCAGCAAAAATAGGGCTCTTGGAAAAGATATTCTGCAAGTGAGGTGTCAAATTGCCTGAAAAGACAAAAAATATTATTTAGAAAAAATACAAGAAAAACAGGGAAATTAGTCCATAGTCAAAACAATCAAATTGTTATGCGAGCTACATTAAATTATTAGAAACTGAGATGAGAATAACAGTTATAAAGTTTACATTTTTACAGCTGTCATATAAAATTTTGAGATTTCCCCAGTAATCTGTTGTAGCATATATGCACAGTTCATTTTCTTCTCCCAAACTATATTGTTGTTGTAAGTGCTATTGAGTCAGTTCTGACTCATAGCAAACTGACTCATAGGGTTTCCAAGGAGCAATTGATGGGTTTGAACCAACGACCTTGCGATTAACAGTCCAGTGTTTATCCTACAGTGCCACACCAAAACTCCTAAGACATAATATATAATATTATTAGGATAAGCACATTCAGAATTTTATACATTTCCATGTGTGTGGGTATCTAAATGGCTTAGCTAGCAAAGCTCATCAGCAAGCCCTATTCAAAAGAGCCAAATTAAAATTACTTAGCAAGTGAAGTATTGCCAAAAATCAACAAGGCTAGAGTCTAGCAGTAGACTAAAAGGAACTATATGAGGAGTGAAGAGTACTAAGTTCTAGCATCAGTTTTGCCATAATTATCCCTTTAACCTTGGGCCTTTCTGTGTTTGAAAGAAATCCCAAAATGCATAAAGTTTCTTCTAGCATTTATCTCATAACCAGAACTTTAATGATGACACACAGAAAACATATAATGCTTTATGGCTCTGAACTGCATCTACAATCAGTATTTATACAGATTTCACTATTTTTATAGTTCACTAGCCCAGCCCTTCCTGATGGTTCTGTAATTACATGTTTATGTACAACTTTCCCATCATACAAAGGACCCCTCAAGGTCCTCATTCAGAAACACAAAACAAATTATTGAAACGCCATGAGCATGGCTAACCATCAACAATGTTTGAATCACAAAGCAGTTCATGAAATAAATTAATCTGTCTTCAAATATATGCCCAAACAAGTTATTTAGCTATCAGGCTACCTACTGTGATTTTTTTAAAAAGGCTTTTTTTCCTGAGTCATTAATTGATTTTCTATCTCCAAATGTCTTTTAAAACATCTGACTCATCTCTTGTTATTTTGAAAGCCTCGTTTAGAAATGCAAAGATTTGTAGAAACCAAAAATTTAAAAGTTTCAGGCAAATTGAAGTAGGTTCACAGTGCACTATTTTTCTGACCATCAACCACTAACATATGGCACCCAGGCAAAGAAATTATTTGCAAAATCAGAGGAGAATTTTCTGCCTTCTTTATCAGCCTAAGGCACCCAACTGCTGTGATCTATCAAAACAATGTGCTTCCCTGTTCTTATTGAGAGCCTGAGTATATTTTCAGAAATTAATATAATAACCGAGTACTGCCTGAAATAACACACACACACCTTTTCAGTCTTGGTTTCTTCTTGTTGTTGTTAAGTGCTGCCAAGTCAGTTCTGACTCATGGCAACCCTATACAGGGTCTCCAAAGAGCGGCTAGTGGGTTTGAACCCTCAACGTGTGGTTAGCAGTCCAATGCTGATCCTACAGCACCATACCAGGACTCTCCATGTTTCTTAGATATATGGTTTTAAAATGTTAATGGTTGCCTAAGCTTGAATCCTGGTTCTCTTTATGTGGCTTCTGAAAGAGCAGTCACACAGACAAACAGGCATTAGGAAAGATAACCCTTTTGATATGTTTATCAGGACATTCAATCATCTTGTGAATTGGTGAAAAAGCTACAGTGATAACTTTACAGTCCATCTGTGCATGCTAACTAACATTGTTAAAAAATGGGTATAAATATTGCTTGTAAGGTATAATCATTGTACACCATTCCTCTTTGTTGCCGATGCCCTGGGAGCTGGCTTCCTAATAATAAAATAAATAAAGCCTAATAATAAAGGCTTTTGTCTTTCTTTTTAAATCTGGGATGTTTGTTAATTGGACTGAACTGCTCCAGGGCATTGGATCCAAGCTTTAGGAATAATGTCATTTTTTAAAAAAAGCTAAGTTTGAAAATCAAGAATTGACCTGGCAGTATGGATTTTAGGCAAGTAACAGATTATTTCAGTGAATACCTACCTACTTTTAAAACGATTTTATGAAGTAAATCCAAATCTGAACTGCTAGGGAGATAAGGGTTTCCAGTGGCCATCTCAATGGTCATACAGCCCAAAGCCCAGATATCCACAGGCCTGGAACAAATAAGAAGGAACAAATCACTTTTTTCATGCAGAGGCTATCTAAAATACCTGTCTTTAGAAAACTTTCAAAATAAAGCCAAGGCCTAAGAATAACAAATGTTAAGTGGTTACTGATTGCTCTCAAGTCCATTCTAACTCATCATGAATGTAGAGGACAGAGTAGAATTGCTCAGTGGTGTTTCCAGTGTGGCGCTGTGGGTTAATGTGCTGGACTGCAAAGTCGGTTTGAACTTAAAGGTTGCTGGTTCAAGCTTACCAGCCGCTCCTCAGAAACCCCATACAGGTTCACTATGAGACTTAACCTACTCAGTGGCACTTAACAACAACAATCTTTTCTGAAGCTGACTGCCACATCTTTCTCCTATGGAGCAGTTGGTAGGTTCAAACTACCAACATTTCAGTTAGCAGCTGAGCTCTTAACTACTGCATCACCAGAGCTCCTTGTTTAAGTGGTATCATTTGTAAAATTTCACAGTAACATCAAATGCTTATGTTAAAAGGTCTACATTAAATATGATATTTTATTATAAAATTGAATAACTTATTAAAATTATATGAGAAACCATGGAGCAGTACAGATAAAAATTATAATTCTAAAATTATTTCTGGAAGGAAAAGAAAGAAAGAGACGAAGGAGAGAGTCTTGGCTTCAATAGCAGGCAGGTTTATTGAGAGTAAACCTGGGAGGGGGTACTCTTATGTCACCAAAGGAGACCAAGAGCCCCTCTGTTCTCTTCCAGACTTGGGTATTTAAAGGCCTTGTGGGCTGGGTAGTTCTGGTGAGTTTACAATGGGTGGGGGTATGGAGATTTTCCTGAAACCTGGAATTTCCAGGGGTGGGGGGTGTCTCCAGGCATAACAAAGACCCAAGCTTCCAGGGAGATTGGTAGCTCAAGCAGGACCCCATTCAGTGTCAATTGGGGGTAGTTGCAATGCCATTCTGTTGATCAGGCACAAGGTCCTTCAATTTCAGATACTTAGTGTAAATGACTTTGAATTAGCATAATTAAGTACTAAAATCATCTTGTATTTAAAAGCAATAAATAAAAATTAATATTTTACTTATCTTAATCCATTGCGACTCCATCATAATCCATATTTTGTCAACAATTTTTTTAAAGCATGTTTATTAAAAGATTGTTTATATATATATGAGAATATATATAAAGATGGAGTCCTGGTGTGGCACTGTAGGATAAGCACTGGACTGCAAAGTTGGTGGTTCAAACTCACCAGCTGCCCCTCAGAAACTTTATAGGGGGTTACTATGAGTCAGAACCTACTCAAATAGGGCACTGAAGAGAGAGCAGCCACTCCAAAGACAGGAACCTTAGGGGACAGTGAGTTCATGTTAATGAGGAGGGAACAACTTGGAAAGGGAGGGCGAGCATGGCTGCACAACTTGAAGAATGGCATCCATGTCATTTAATTGTACATGTAGAAATAGTTGAATTGGTATATTTTTGCTGTATATATTCTCAACAACAAAGTAAAATTTTAAAAATGAAAGCTACCACCTCACATTTGAAAGAAATATAAATTATATAAATATAATTTACAAATTACACAATGAGATGTTTTTCACTAATCTGGTAAGCCTTCTCCATCAGTTAAGGAGCTATGGTAGCACAGTGAGTTAAGCTGTCAAGGTCAGTGATTCAAACCCAGCAAAAAGAGGAGGCTATTTGCTTCTGTAAAGATTTCCTGTCTCATAAACCCTAAGAAGCAGCTCTAATTTGTTCTATCAAGTCACTAGGAGTTAGAATCAAGTTGATGGAAGCTGGTTTGGTTTGGTATCTAGCATCTGTTTATCCATTTGTCATAATGTGGTGGCTTGCATGTTGCTGTGATGCTGGAAACTATTCCACCAGTATTACAAATACCAGCATGGTCACCAACCTGGTTTCAGGGGAGCTTCTAGACTAAGAGTAGGGAGAAATGCCTAGTGATCTACTCTGGAAAATCAGCATACAAAGAGAAACAACAAAATGTCTTATGAATCTGAGAACAGGAGAACGTCAAAATAACTAAGTGTTTATTAGGTTAAAAAAAAACAAAAACTAACTTAAGAACAGCTGCTGAGCTGGGAGGTTCTGCCATAACCAGAGCAGAGAAGGGGAGCTCTGATGAGATATGAAGGATTGGAGCAGTTTATGCTTCTATAAGCCCTCAAATTTTACCTGCCAGGACTTGTTTTAGTACAAGGGCTATGGAGAAACTGCTAAAAATAAATTAAGTTGGTCAGAATAGTGATATTGAAAACAAAGGAAGAGAAGACCCCCAGTGTGTGAGGGAAAGAGTCAGAAAACCTCAGAGAGCAAACTACCATATTTTTTTTCTTTAAAATACTATACAAAAATAGTAGCAGTTCTATGAAGTTAGAAAAGCTGTCTTGAAATATGCCTCCTTCAAAGAGTTCAGAAAAACAGATTTCACATAAAATTGAGTAGCATTCAAGCATTAAAGCTAACTTCCAGTACTTATAAAATTGTAATTAAAAAAGAATAGAGTAGAATAACATCCCTGAGGACAAAAGTCCATCAGAACACCATGCCCATGAATTGGATCAAAACTGAAATAATCTATTTCAAAATGAGCTAAAAAAAAATTAAGAAAATGTTACAAGACATGAAAGAATAACAAAACGGAATTCGAGAAATTCATAAATTGAGTGACAAAACTCATTAACAAATTATAAGTAAAAATTATTTCAGAAATAAAGAGTAAACTATGAAGAACACAAGAGTGAATAAACATAACAGATAATATCTAAGGGGGGGAAAGGTGAAAAGAAGGAAACTTTTTTGAATAAAAAGAAATAAAGGTGGATATTAAGAAATTGAAACTCTCATCCATTGTGCAGAAACTAGGACCCTTATCTATTGCTGATGGGAACGTAAAATGGTACGATCACTGTGCAAAACACTATGGTGGCTTCTGAAAGTTACAGAATTACCATATGACCCAGCAATTTCACTCCTAGGTATATGCCTAAAAGCAGGAACTTAAACAGATACTTTCTTGTACACCAATGTTCATTACAGCATGTAAGAATTATTTTTCTCTCCCCATTTTTTCCTGTATTTAGTTGTGCACGTTGGTCCTTTTATGTTCTATAGGACTAATTGTTTTTTATATTAGATTACTGTTTTAGTATAGGCTGAAATCATGCTACTTTTTAAGGCATTTAGAACACTATGATTTAAAAATTACTGTTGGTCAATCTTTGGAGTCCTGGTATGGCGCTGTGGGTTAATGCACCAGACTGCAAAGCCGCTTGAACTGCAATGTCGGTGGTTCATGCTCACAAGCTGCTCCTCAGAAACCCTATACAGGGTCACTATGGGTCAGAATCGACTCGACAGCACTTAACAACAACAACTGGTCAATCTTTGCAGTGAGGGAACCATTTCTAGGAAAAATGAAACTTGACAGTTCAGACTACAACGCTGCCAGAGTAAGATAAATGATTCACAAATTTCTGCAAAATGTAGAAACTAAAAACATACAGAGGCAACTCTGCCAAGGTTAAGGGCAACACAGCTGAAAACAAGTCTGGATAGGTCCTGAGGGATTTCTACATTAGCCTCCATGGGCTGTGGCCACTGAGCTCCAATGGGCAAGCATGGCAGCAGTGGTAGCCAGTGCCACAGGTGCCTATGGGGCCGACTCTTATGTTACAACTGGAGGTATCTCTCTTCTTAGTCCAGACAGCAGAGAGGGTCAGGACCAGGGATGACAAATGCACCAAGAGAAAAAAGAGATGGCCAAGAAAGACTAAGTAGGATCCTGAAACATACATACTTTCCATAAGTGGTATCTTTTAATACTAATTCTGGAGCTCTATACCAGCGTGTGGCCACATAATCCGTATAAATGTCCCCAGGAGCTGCTAGTGTTCGGGCAAAACCAAAATCACAGAGTTTAGTAATTCCTGTCTGGGATACTAAAATATTCTCAGGTTTTATATCTCGATGAATGATCTGGAAAACAAACAGAAGATGCAATATATTAAAATGAAGTTTCATTATCAAGATAATATCTCAAAAATTACAGCAAAAACAGCTAATTAAGACAGTAAAGCTATTTTTAATATGTAACTTTGAATAACATAAACTTGTATGTTACATGTATATGTAGATATATGGGTATTATCCTACTACTGACAGCATTATATTTCAGGGTAGGTCTTGAAATGCACTTTTGGACAATGAATGTGACACTATTGCTCTTCAATTTTTCATTTGCAGCATGGTAGACCATATGAGTGTCCAATTCAAAATGAGGATATTCAGTTCATTTCAGCTTATTAAAGCCTAGAATATCAATACGATAGTCAAATATTTTCAACTCTTGCCCCATCCATTACCTCGAAATGATATGAAGCCAAGAAAACAGACAAAACGCTAAAAAGGTAAATCACATCCCTATAAGGAAAAGTGATCAAAAGCATTTAATAAGAAAAATTAAGCTCCCCTTAACTCCATGTCCCACTCTTGCTACTGCTCTCTCTCATTTTCATCACAGTTAAACCTCTTGAAAATATTACCTGTACTCAGTCATTACTTTGTGAACACTCTCAAGGTAATACGATCTGTCTTCTGCCCTACTATTCTGTTAAACTACTGCAGAGGCCACATAGAACTCAAACACAATACTCACAATTATGGGATTTACTAGGGAAGGTAATAGGTTACAATCCAGAAATACTCAGAGCACAGTTCTTCTAGTTAGGACAGCCTCTTCTCAGTTGTGCCTTCAAGCAGGCCTCTCTCTGCTCTGGCAATATGACAAAGCTCTTTTAAGAGATGCTAGTAAATGCCCATAGGGCGTACCACTCCACCGTTAGCCTCAGTCTGAAGACATTCAGCTCTAGCTACATGGGTCAGAAAACTTAACTCCTCCAATTAAGTACGTGGAGTCACCCCACTCTGCAAGCAAGATTTCTGTCCAAAGTCATTCTGCTTTACTTACTCCATGGGCTGGGGAGCCCACTGTTCTGTCTTGTGCTCTGGCTCTGGGTCCTGTTGCTACTGCTCCTCTGTCCCTCCTTCAGTGTCACAATTCTCTGTCTCTGGGTCAAGGAGGTTCAATACATAGTGATAGCAAGGTATAAAGGGCACGGTCTACTCCCTGATTCTTTCTTTTTTTATGGTAGTGAGACCCCACCCCCACACCCCAATTCTTTCTTCTGAGATGGTTCATTTTATACTTATGCTAGTTTCAAGTTTTTACAATTACACACAATGAACTTTTAACATTTACAGCAGAATCATGCCATCCTATCATATCTTCTCACACCTTGTTTCCTAGACCCCTCATAAAAAGTTATTTGATGAGAGTTACAAAGACTAAGGCTAAAAGAGATACATTAAATAATACACTTAACACAAACACACACCCCTCAATTCATAACCTACTTGATAGCTTAGTGGACAAATACTACCAACCACTTTTCTATTTAGTTTCTAGGACCTCAAACTTTCACACAATTTCCTTCTATCTCCCTGGGAGTTTTTCTTTCTTGACCTGTCCTTTAAATGTAGAGTTCTGGTCTTAGGCTTTCTTCTCTTCTCAGTTTCCTTGGCATTCTCACATAATCTTAGTAATTTTTTAGTAAGTACCCATATTGATTTCCAATGTCTATCTCTAATTCTTATCTCTCTCCTGGATCCAGTTCCATAGGGCTGACCCATAGGCTTCTCAAACTCAGAAAATTCAAAACCAAACTCATCATCTTCTCCTCCAAACCACTTCAACAATCCTTTAGCTCAGTGAAAGGAACCAACATTCAGCTCAAGGCTCATGCCAAAACCCAAAGCATTTCCTCCACTCAGTCCTCATTTTATCCTATGAGCCCAACCCAAGCCATGGTATTTCCAATAATCTCACACACATGTGAAAGTTGGACAGTGAATATGGAAGACCACAGAAGAATTGATGCATTTGAATTGTGGTGTTGGAGGAGAATATTGGAAGTGCCATGCACTACCAAAAGAACCAACAGATCTGTGGTTGGAAGAAGTACAGCCAGAATGCTCCTTGCAAGGCAGGATGGTCTCATACTTTGGTCATATTATCAGGAGAGACCAGTCCCTGGAGAAGCAGATCATGTTTGGTAAAGTGGAGGATAGGATAAAAGAGAGGCAACTACTGATCTTTCTTTGTTTCCAACGTTCACATTCCAATCACCAGAAATTATTAATGCATATTGATTTCATGTTCAAACAATTTCAGACAGAAGAAGGTAATAAAAATCGATTTCTTCATCTTTGGCATTAGTAGTTGATATGTGAATCTGAATAACATATAAATTTGTATATGCTATATAAGATGGCCAAACTTCGTCTCTCATACTTTGGACATATTGTCAGGAGGGACCAGTTGCTGGAGAAGGATATCATGTTTGGTAAGGTGGAGGGCCAGAGAAAAAGAGGAAGACCCTCAACGAGACGGATTGGCCAAGTGGCAGCATCGATGGACTCAAGTGTGGCAACAGTAGTGAGGTTGGCCCAGGATCGGGGCAGTGTTTTGTTCTGCTGTACATAAGGTTGCTATGGGTCGGTACCGACTCGATGGCACCTAACAACACCAACTCCTATGTGGAGTACTGGTGTGGTGCTGTGGGCTAAAGCATGAGACTCCAAAGTCATTTGAACTGCAAGGTCGGTGGTTCAAGCTCACCAGCTGTTCCTTGGAAACCCTATACAGGGTCGCTATGGGTCAAATCAACTCGATGGCACTTAACAACAACAACATATTTATATATATGTAGACATATAGATATTAGCCTATTATTGACATCATTATACTTCAGGATAAATCTTGAAATGCACTTTTGACAATGAATGTGACACTATTTCTTTTCAAATTTTCATTCACAGCATGGTCAACCATATGAGTGTCCAATTCAAAATGAGCATATTCAGTTCATTTCAGCTCACTAAAACATAGGGTATCTATCTTTATGCGTTCCATTTTATTTTTAATGACTTCCAATTTTCCTAGATTCATACTTTGTATATTTCACATTCTGATTAATAATAGATGTTTACAGCTGTTTCTACTCATTCTGAATTGTGCTGCATCAGCAAATGTAGGTCCTAAAAGCATTACTCCATTCACATCATTAAGGTCAACTCTACTCTGAGGAGGCAACTCTTCCCAGTTGCTGTTGTGTGCCGTCAAGCCAGTTTCAACTCAGGGCAACCCTGTACAGGGGTTTCCAAAGAGTGGCTGGTGGATTCGAACCACCAACATTACAGTTGGTAGTCCAATGCTCATCCTACAACATCACACCAGGACTCCAACTCTTTCCTGGGTATTGCATTTTAAATGTCTTTCTACCAGAGAGACTCACTTGCTATTCATAACATTTTCACTGGCCATTTTTCAGAATTAGATGCCAAGTCCTCCTTCCTAGTCTCTCTGGAAGCTCCACAGAAACCTGTTCAGCCTGGATGAACCTGATGGTATTTAAAATACCAGTGTCATAACTCCCAGCATCACAGCAATATGCAAGCAACAATATGATACTGTGATGACTTACATATTGCTCTGATGCTGCAAGTTATGACACTGGTATTTCAAATACCATCACAATATGACAAGGAGTCCTGGTGTGGTACTCTAGGATAATGCACTGAACCACAAGGTCAGTTTGAATGGCAAGGTCAGTGGTTCAAATCCACCAGCTGCTCCTCAGAAACCCTATACAGGGTTGCTGTAAGTTGGAACTAACTCAATGGCACTTAACAACAACACAACAATATGACAAACTGACGGATGAGTGGTGGCCAGACATACCAGAATGACTATAATCTTAGTAACAAGTATGGCTAGGATGTAGAGAAACTGGAACCCTAATACATTGCTAGTTGAAAGTAAAATGTTGTAGCCCCTTTGGAAAACAATTTTGCACCTTCTCAAAACATTAAACATAGACTTAGCAGTTCCACTTCTAGGAATATGCTCCAAAGTACTGAATATATATATCCAGGCAAAAATGTATATACAGAGGAACAAACAAGATAGCGGATCAGGTGGAAGTACAGTAAAGGAGCTCCACTTGCAAC